GGCCACCCCCCACCCCCACCCCGCGCCCTTTCCCCTTCCCTGGCGGCCCTGGCGGGATTCCCGGAAAGTCGGTGGTGACTCAGGCCGGGACGCACCCCGTGCCCAGGGCCACCGGGCCAGGCACCTGCCCAAGCCCGGGAGGTGGTGGCCTCCAGCCACCTCCCTCCGCTTGCACAAGGACCCCCACCGCCACCCCTCCTGGGTGGCTTCCATTCATTCATTCATTGGCTCATTCATTCCCTCACTCACCCCCGTGCCCGCCCCGCACACACTCGGGACAGCTCGCTCCAGCGGCCTTTAGTAAACGCGGGGTGGGGCAAAGCCCTCAGGAGCCCGGGCTGGGGGAGCCGCGGGGCCGGGGAGCTCGGGGTGCGTGTGCATAGTTGCACACGAGCCCCCCACCCATGCTCCATCCCCCGGGCATCGCCAAAGGCCACTGCGCAGGGAGATCACCGAGACCACAGCCGGAGCCTGGCATCCCAGCCACTCAGGAGGCTGAGATCTGAGATCCTGGTTGAATCCAGTCGGAGATGGATTCCAGTGAGACTCTTACCTCCGGTGAACTGTCAAAAAGCCAGAAGTGGAGCTGTGGCCAGGCCCTGAATTCAAGCCCCAGGACTAAGTCTCTCTCTTTCTACCCCCTCCTCCCTCCATCTCCCGCCCCCACTTCTTTCTGTCCTGAGGCTTGAACTCAGCCTGGGTGCTGTCAGCTCTTCAGCTCAAGGCTAGCCCTCTACCACTTGAGCCACAGTGCCACTTCCAGTTTTCTGTTAGTTTTTGGAGATGAGTCTCATGGACTTTCCTGCCTGGGCTCGTTTTGAACAGCCATCCCCAGATCCCAGCCTCCTGAGTAGCTAGGATTACAGGCTTGAGACACTGGTGCCTGGCTCTGGCTCTGTCTGTCTGTCTCTGTCTCTCTCTCTCTCTCTCTCACACACACACACACACACACACACACACACACACCACCTGGAAGAAGACTCCAGCCAGGTCCTTGTGGGGAGCAGGAAGGAGAACAAAAGCTGGAAATCGCTGGGCTGAATGAAAGGGGGGTGGTGGTGGTGGTGAACTTTCCAACAGGAAATGCAGGGTGCCCCAGATTTCACTGCCCTGTTCAGTTTCTTCATAGCCCTGTGCATGCAGCTAAATGGACAGGGGGGGGCTGCAGGTGGGACCATGCACCCATTTTTCCACCTCCCACAGCAGCTTGCCCCCCACCCCAAGTCTCCTGGGCCCAATGGATGCCTCTTCTCTCCTAAGGCACAACTAAATCCTACCTGGCACTGTCATTTTCACTCCCTCTGTGTCACCCTGGGTTCCGTTCCCATGACAGACACCTGATATGAAACAACTTCTCTGGAGAAAAAGATTTCCATGGTGGGTGTGGCTGTGCATGCCCGTAATGTGAGCCACTGAGATCAAAAAATAAACTGAATATTGGGGTGGGGAGAGGGGAGTATGACTTTTGTGGAGGAAGCCTGAAGTGGGGAGGAGAGGGGAGAAGAGAGAAAGGGAGGAGAAAGATTTATTTATTGCTGGTTCTGGGGCTTGAACTCTTGGCCTGGGCCCCGTCCCAGAGTTCTTTTGCTCAAGGCTAGCGCTTCTACCACTTGAGCCACAGCCCCACTTCCAGTTTTTTTCTGAGTAGTTTATTGGAGATAAGGGGCTCATGGACTTTTTCTGCCCTGGCTGACTTCAAACCAGGATCCTCAGATCTCAGCCTCCTGAGTAGCTAGGATGACAACAGGTGTGAACCACCAGCACCTGGCTACAGAGGGGAAATGATTTTGGCTCACAGTTTGGAGGAGGTAGTCCAACTGTCCCCATTGTCCTGGGCCTGTGGCCTGGGTCACAGGAGTGTGGGATGGAGTCCTGGGTCAAACCACTCTATGCCTCAGTTGCCCACTTGGTCCCCCCCATGCACCCCACAGGGACCCCGATGGTTGGCATAGAGGTGCCTACCCAAGTGGACGGCTTCTTGGATGAGTCTGTGAACCTGAGCTGCCAGCTACAGACTCTTCCTGGTGTCAGCATCCAGATGAGCCAGATCACATGGATGAAGCAGGGTGAGGAGAGGAGCCTGGCCGTCTTCCATCCCACCAGGGGGCCCCACTACCAGGATCCCGGCAGGATGAAGTTCCTGGCTGTAGGGCAGGGCACAAAGCTGCCAGATGCCTCTCTGGAACTGTCTGCGTTGCAAATTGATGACGAAGCTAATTATACATGCCACTATGCGACCTACCCAACGGGCAGCAGCAAGGGGACCACTTGGCTGCGGGTGCTGGGTGAGCAACAGGGAATCAGGGTGAGAGGAGGTGGGAGGGGCGCAAGCAAGAGTGGGCCAGGCCTGAGCAGGGGACCTCCTTCCACTTAGCAGGTGTCATAGGGCGGTTGGAGAGATTAGAGATCCTGGGGGCCAAGGTCTTGGGGAGACCAGGAATTGGACAGGTGGCTGGGGAGAACCTGGAGGCTGGGGAGGACAGTGGATTTTCTTCCTCTAGGCCTCCGCTTTCTTCCTTGGATATAGCAGGGCCCTGGCATCTCTGTTATGGGACTTTAAACACAGGTTCCTCCTAGGTTGGCCCTAATAACACCTTACAGGTGCTAGTGGCTGCTCCCCTGCATTCAAGGTTGGTGACAAAGGAAAAGTTCAAAGGTGAAGATAGAAGGAGAGCCGGGTACTGGTGCTCATGCCTGTAATCCTAGCTACTCAAAGAGACTGAGATCTGAAGATCAAGGCTAGAAGCTAGACTGGGAAGGAAAATCATGAGATTCTTATCTCTAATTAGCCAAAAGGAAAAAAAAATCGCCAGAAACGGAGCTGTGAGCTCAAGTTGTGGAGTACTAGCCTTGAACAAAAAAACCCTGGGACAGCACTCAGGACGTGGGTTCAAGTTTCAAAACCAGCATGCGGGAAAGGAGGGAGGGAGGGGACAGACATCTGATGCCCTGTTGAGGAGGCTGCCTCCCAATTCCATACCAATTGTTTGTTTTCTGAAGCAGCTGTGGGGGTGGGGGGGGCAATGACTAATGACTAAGGATGGGTGGTTTAGAACTGCACAGGATGTACTACTGATGCTTCTGCCCCATTGTAATACCCCACGAGGGAAAAAAAAATCCATCTTGGAGGCACTTCAAAGGTAACAAAGGAGTTGTCCTGCAACCCTATCCTGGGTTACCTTGGAACTAAGAGTCGCTGCAACTTCCAAGGTTTTTCTTTTTCTTTTTTCCTCCTTCCCACGGGCCACTCTGATCTCCAACTCTCCGCAGGCCTCTCCGATCTCCACAGGCCACTTGGCTCTTCACAGGCCTTTCCACCTCTCCGTGGGTTTTGCCTCTCCACTATCCACAGGCCTTTCCTCAGGCTTCTCCGCCGCGCCTGGGCCTCTCCGCCGGCTGGGGCTTTCCTGGGCCTCTCACAGACTTTCCTGTCTGGGCTGGCTTTGAACCTCAATCCTCAGATCTCAGCCTCCTGAGTTGCTAGGATGACAGGCCTGAGCCACCAGCCCCTGGCTTGTGTCTCCGCTCTGGAGGAGAGCCCGGGCACTGCTCAGCTCCATGAAGTGCCTCTCTCCCATTAGGGCTCTGGCTGCCTTTCTCCTCACCGGAAGTCCCTCCTTTCCATATTCTGCGGCCCGCCCCGGAAGCGGCCCTTTGACGCTCCGCCCCCAGGGCCTGGCGTGCGTCCTGCGTGGCGTCTCCCCGGCCTCCTCCCTTTCTGACGCCATCCATGGCCCAGCCAGGTGGTCTGCAGTGATCTTCCTCCTTTCTAGGCCCCAGCACCAATCCACGAGGCATATTCACTGAGCATTTCCTACAGGCCAGGACCTGTGTCCCCATCCCTCCCGGGGATCCCCAGTGCACAACGAAGGAAACTGAGGCACAGGCTTGCTCCAAAGGCCGCCCTCCACTCCGCTGGCTGCCCAGAGACACACACGGGATTTGAACTGTCCACTGTCTCCCTTTCAATCCTCCAGCCCAGCCCCAGAGCAGCGCCGTCGCCCTGAATGCTGTGCAACCCCCGACCGCCCTCTCTGTGCCCGCGCCCGTGGCGCACTGCGAGGCCGCCGACGGACACCCGCCCGCGCGCCTCTCCTGGTCCGCTCACCTGCCCGGAGTCGCCAACACCACGCAGGGGCCCGGATCGCGGCCCGGCACCGTCTCCGTCGTCAGCGTCTTCTCCGCGGTGCCCTCCAGACAGGCGCACGGCCAGGTCGTCACCTGCGTGGTGCAGCACCAGACCTGGGCGGAGCCGCTGCGGCTGCCCGTCCATCTGTCCGTGCTCTGTGAGTGCGTCTGCGCATGCGCGAGGGAAAGATTCACCCCCCCAACACACAGTGGGCTGCTATCACCCCGGGGTTACCCACACCCCACTTCCCCAAGCTGTGGCCTACATGGCCTCCAGCGTCTGCCTGGCTCCCCCTTCTCCCACCTTATAAGACCAACAACAACAAAAAAGTGAGTTTCAAGGCCCCCCCAGTACTGGCACCAAGACACAGAAGTACCTAGGGACAGAGTAGGCCTGGTCTGCCCGCGTGGCCGAGGATGCACAGGCCTCTGTTCTCAGAGGACATGTCCTGTCATTCAGGACCCACCCCGGGAGCTGAGGAGCCTCGTGCCCTGAGGGCCTGTGGCTCTGACCCCAGTGTGTCCCCACTCCTTAGACCCCCCTGAGGTCTCCATCGTTGGCTATGACCACAATTGGTATGTCGGTCGCCGTGATGTCACCCTGAGCTGCGACATCCAGAGCAATCCAGTGCACACTCACTTCAACTGGACCACGTGAGTCACGGGGACCCCAGCCTGCCCTGAAGAGGGAGGCTGGTGCCTGGATCCCTGGGTCTGAGGGAGGAGGCTGGGGCCTGGATCCCTGGGTCTGAGGAAGGAGGCTGGGGCCTGGATCCCTGGATCTAAGCAAATAAGCATCAATGACACAATCATTAATCAGCTATTAGAAGTGATTGCTATCAACGTTTGGCATCTTTACAGCAGGGAGTGAAGGCAGTGAACAAGTGCTTGTTTGCCTTACACAGATTCAGCCCTGGTATTTTTTAAAAATTAAATTAAATTAAAATTTTTTTTGTTGGTTGCAGATCTTGAACTCTGGGCCTGGGTGCTGTCCCTGAGCTCTTCAGCTCAAGGCTAGAACTCTACCACTTAAGCCACAGAGCCACTTGTGGCTTTTTCTGTTTATGTGGTACTCAGGAATTGGACCCAAGGCCTCATGCATGCAAGGCAAGCACTCTACCACTGAGCCACCTTCCCAGCCCCTAATTTTAATTTCTTTATTGCATGTCCCAGGGTTTGTACTCAGGGCCTGGGCACTAGACCTCTACCACTTGAACCACAACACTACTTTGGCTTTTTCTGTTTATGTAGTACTGAGGAATCAAACCTAGGGCTTCATGCATGCTTCATGCACTCTACTACTAAGCCACATTCCCAGCCCAATTTCTTTTTCTTTTTTATTTGGCAGGGGGGTCCGGTCATGGGTCTGAACTCTGGTCCTGGGCGCTGTCCCTCAGCTCTTCAGCTCAAGGCTAGCACTCTACCACTTGAGCCACAGCGCCACTTCCAGCTTTTTTTCTTTTCGCTTATATGGTGCTGAGGAATCGAACCCAGGGCCTCAGTCATGCAAGGCAAGCGCTCTACCACTGAGCCACCTTCCCAGCCCTCTTTTTTCTTTTTTTTAAAATGTGTGTGATGGTGCACCTCTGTAATTCAAGCTACTCAAGAGGGGGAAATAGGGAGAGTCTGAGTTCAAAGCCAGAAGAGGCAAAAGTGCCAGACTCTATCTAAGAATTAACCACAGCCAAAAGGCCTGGAGAGCAGGAGGAGGGTAAAGTTCAAGAGGAAGCCCTACCTTCCCCAGCTAGCACAATGTCCCTAGTTCAAGTCCCAGGGACACCAGAAACAGCAACAACAGAAGAGCCTGGTTCTCTTGACTCGTCCTACCGCAAACTGCACAAATGAGGGCTCCCACAGGGCTGGCTCTGCTTCCTGCATGGCTCTTTCTTCCCTGATCCACCTGCCATTAGCCAGCACACCTAGCTAGGACAGAGAGAGCCTACTGAGGTAGTTGGAGGCAGCAGGTGGCAGGTCTGCTGGGGCAGGGCCAGCTCTGCCTGAGGGGATGTGAGATGACCCGGGCTCCTGCGCCCCCTGCTGGCTACAGAGCTAAATGGACCTGATGGCTGTATAGAGCATAGCACAGACAGGTCCAGTGAAAAACAGGAAGGGGAACAGGCTGAAAGGGCAAGGAAGAGGCTGGAAGGGCAGGGAAGAGGCTGGAAGGGCAGGGAAGAGGCTGGGAGGGTGGCAGTGTGGTGAAACGCACAGGGTTTTCAGATGAGCAGGACCCGGGTGATCACAGAAGAGCCATACCCTGTGTCCCACAGGGCCTGAGGCTGCCTGTGTCCCACAGGGCCTGAGGCTGCCTGTGTCCCACAGGGCCTGAGGCTGCCTGTGTCTTTGCTACCCCACCTGGAGCCTCCAGCAGAGGCCCCTTCCTTACCCATCTATCTCTGCGCCAGGACCTTGGGAACCCTGCCCAGCTCTGCTCAGGTCCAGGGCACCCTGCTCCGGATCGCCATGGTGGACGAGGCCATCAACACAACTTTCATCTGCAACGCCACCAACGCCATGGGGACCGGCCAGGGAGAAGTGACCATTGTCCTCACAGGTGAGGGGCTGTTCCCAGGATGCCCTCTGACTCCTGCTTCACACAAGGTATCTCAGGATGGGACGAGTGCAGTCAGCTCTGCTCCCTGACCTGCCCACCCCTTAAAAACCTGGGGTTCCTGGTGCCATTGGTCATCTGCTGCCTGAGCACAGACCCGCCACCAACCCAGGCTGAGGAAATAGTAATTTGCTTCTTTCCCAGGTAGGCAGAAGGGGAGAGGGACTCAGGAAAGCTCCTCTAAATACTCTGAATAGGACTTTGTTATAATTGACTAAAGCATGGCTAAAAATCTTTTCCAAAGACTTTATTGAAAATGCATTTTCAGCCAGATGCTGCTGGCTCACGACTGTAATCCCAGCTACTCAGAAGGTTGAGATCTGAGGATTTTCTTTCAAAGCCAGCCCAGGAAGGAAAGTCCCCTAGAATCTTATCTCCAATAAACCTCCAGAAAACTGGAAGTGGTGCTGTGACTCAAGTGGTAGAGCACTAGCCTTGAGCTGAAGAGCTGAGGGACAGCGCCCAGGCCCAGAGTTCAAGCTCCACAACCAAAAAAGAAAAGAAAAGAAAAGAAAATGCATCTTCAGGTCTGATTATATCCAGGCACACTCCAACCATGGCATTCAGTTCTTTTTTTTTTTTTTCATTTTTTCTTTTCTTTTTTGGCATTGAGGTTGAAATAAAGCACAACGCTATTTGAGCCATGCCCCTTTCAGCCCATTTTTGCTTTACTTATTGTGTGGAGTAGTCTCTCATTTAAGGGCACATTATCCTGTCCCATAATCCTCCTGTTTACACTTTCCTGTTCTGCTTTGCCGTTGGGATGGCAGCCACGTGCCACCAGGCCCACTTATTGCTGGAGATGGAGATCTCACTAATTGTTTCCCAGGCTGGCTTCTTCCCCATCTCCCTGGCAAGTAATTAGAATTATAGGTATGAACCACTATACCTATCTAGATCTACTTTCTTTTCTATTTTGTGACAGTCCTGGGGCTTGAACTCAGGGCCTGGGCACTTTCCCTGAGGTTTTTCACTCAAGGCTGAAACTCTACCACTGAAGTCACAACTCCACCTCCAGCTTTTGGGTGACTCATTGAAGCTAAGAGTCTCATTGAGTTTCCTGCCCAGGCTGACTTCAAACCATAATCCTCAGATCTCAGCCTCGTGAGTGGCTGGGATGACAGGCATGAGCCACCAGCTCCTAGCCCATTTCATGTTCTTAGCCACCTCCCTGGGGACAGAGCACACCACTCACTGGAAGTAGCTCTAATCAAAGTCTCAGGGCCAGCTCTGAGTCGCTCCATTTAAACCCCTGTCCACCTTTAAATCAATCACAGCAGCCAAGGAAAATGCAAGGTTCTCATTGGCCAGGCCTGAGCTCCCACAACCCAATCCCATCCTAGGCGTCATTGGGTGCAGTGGAGTCCACCAGAACACAGAGAATGAGGGAGGTGATGTTTTCTAAAGGAAATCTGGGGTGCTCATTCAAGGATGAGAGTGATACATGCCAGGCAGGTAAAAAAAAAAAAAGCTCAACATTTCCTCACCTGCCTGTTTCCTTCTTCTACAGAGAGACCCCTGGCCTCCATCTCACCTGGAGCCATAGTTGGTGTCGTGTTGGTGGTACTCGGGGTAATTGTGGGCATAGTGCTGATCTTCGTGTGTCGTCACCTTCACGGTGAGCCCCAATGCTATTCTTGCCTCCCGCTGCATTCCTGCTGTGTTCCAGGTTTGTCTGAGGGGAGAGGGTACTTGGGGTGTCCCCAGTGCCCACCCAGGCCTCCAGCCCATCTCCCAAGTTGACACATTTTCATCCTGTTTCTCCAGGTCGGAACCAGTTGAACAGCTCTACCAATGGGGTAAGTGGAGAGGAGAAGAAAGGAGAGGGGAGGGGAGGGCAGGGTGACCCCCTAATGGCTCCTGAGAAGGGCTTTGGGAAGAGCTTAAGCCTAGCTGATCAGAACCTCTCATTTTCCCTGACTGCTGTGATTGGCTCAGAGGTGGACAGTGATTTAAGTGGAGCCAATGAGAGATTGCTTTGATTACAGCTATTGACAGTGGACTAGAAGCCAAGTGCTGAGACTGTGTCTGTGGGAGGAGCCCATGTCCTCCTGAGTTCCAATCCCATGACCACCAGCACAAGGAGGGGAAACAAAAGCCAGCATGGTGTTGGGATCCATTAGTGATGTCTGCCTTGGGTATGGGAATATTTGGCCTGGGTATCATAGCTTGAGTGCTGGGATGGATTAGTGATGTCTACCCTGGGTACAGGCATGGGAAGATGGGCCTGGATAAACCACAGAGTCCCCATCCCATTCTCCCAGAAGGTTTTTCTGCCCTCTGATGTTCTGTGACTCACCCCACACACATTGGAAATTTCTGAACTCATTCATTCAACCTATTTGTAAAAGCATATAAATGGATAGGAAGTGTAAGGTGATGGATATCAACCAGATAGGACTTAAAACTGCCTAGGTTTCAGCTGGGCAAGAATGGCTCATGCCTGTAACCTCAGCTAATCAGGAGGCTGAGATCTGAGCATCGTGGTTGAAAACCATCCAGGCAGGAAAGTCCATGACACTCTTATTTCCAATTAACCACCAGAAAACTGAAGTGATGTTGTGAATCAAAGTGGTAGAGTGCTAGCCTTGAGCAAAAGAGCTCAGGAATAGCACCCAGGCCCTCAGATTGAGCCTTACAACAAACAAAAGAAAAGGAAAGAAAGAAGGAAAGAGAAAAAGAAAGAAAGAAAGAAAGGGAAAGAAATTAAAAAAAAAGAAAGGGCGAAGGAGAGAATGAAAGAAAGAGAGAGAAAGAAAAAGAGAGAAAGAAAGGGCCTGGGCACTGTCCCTAAGCTTGTTTTGCTCAAGGCAAGCCCTCTACCACTTCAGCCACAGCACCAATTCCAGCTTTTTCTGTTTATGGGGTACTGAGGAATCCAATCCAGAGCTTCACGCACACTAGGCAAGCAAGCACTCTACCACATGCTCAGCCACAAAGGTTGTTGACTAAAGGCTGCCTCTCGCCTTCTAGAACGTTGTGTATTCATCTGTACGCAAGGAGGACGTCCCTCTGAAAGACACAGCAGCCAGCAATGGGGACTGCATCACCAGCCCCGACTCCCACCATGTGGATTGAATGCACAGACAGAGGGCTGGCTGCCTCTCCTTCTCTACAGCACATGACCCGTCCACAGCCTGCAGCTACTCAGAAGACTGACAACCAGGGAAACCAAAGGTTCAAAACCAGCCCTCAAGTCTCCATCTCCAGTTAATTAGCAAAAAGAGCATGGAGGCATGGCACAAGTTGCCTAGCACCAGCTGAGCCAACGGAAGACCTTGGGCTCAACCTTGAGATCCCTCCAGAGCCCACACTAGTCAGATATGCCCTCAGCCACTTCTGCCATTTGCAAGAAAGACTGGAGAGCTCTGAAGACACCTAGGGCATTTCTGAGGGGACCAGGCTGAGGTCTCCACTGCTTTTCCCAGAGGACTGGTGAGGACAGTGCTCAGTCTCCTCTGTTGAGTTAATGACCAGCTGAGTGTGGTAGCACACACCTGTAATCCCATCTACTGAGGAGGCACCATCCCAAGCTGGCCTGGGACCACCTTTAGGCCAGGAGCCTCCACCTCAGAACAGCAAAGTAAATTTTTGTTTATTTATTTGTTGTAGGTCTGGGGGAGGAGTGTTAAACTGGGCCTGAGGGCTGTCCCTGAGCTCTTTTGCCCAATGCTAGGGCTCTACTACTTTGAGGCACAGCACCACTTCCGATTTTCTGATGGTTCATTGGAGAAAAGAGTCACGTGGACTTTCATGCCTGGACTGGATTTGAACCATGATTCTCAGATCTCAGCCTCCTGGGTAGCTAGGATGACAAACACTGAGGCTTAAATTATTGAAAGCTTATTTGTGGTCTTGGCTGCAGTGAGAGGCAAATGGGGAAGAAAGGGGAGAATTGGCCCAATAACAGAAGTGAGAGTCCAGAGCAGAACAAGGAAAGTGGGGTCCCCCGGTGTCAGCGGACTTAGAGAAGATGGCTGGTTTTCCTGAATGACCCATTGTCTACCTCTAGCACTTTATTAAATATAACTTATTTGTTTACTCTGTGGCATTTATTTGGTTTGTGTTAGTCCTCGAGCTTGAACTAGGGGCCCATGTGCTGTCCTCAGCTTTTTTTCTCAAGGCTGGTGCTCTACTGCTTGAGCCACAGCTCCACTTCAGCTTTTGGGTGGTTCATTGGAGATTAGAGTCTCATGGAGTGGGTCTCCCAGGCTGGCCTCAGCCTAAGATCCTCAGATCTCAGCCTCCTGCATAGCTGGGATGACGGGAGCATCACCATCGAATAATAGAAAAGGATTCAGAGTGTTTTTGTGAGACAGACAGATAACACACAGATTCAATGAGTGACTGACTGAATGACTGAAGGAACTGAAAAATCCAGAGCATCTTAGTTTGAAAATAAATCCCTGAAATGCCTTCCCAAGGGACAGACAAGAAATCACACAACTGCAGTAAGGAAGACTTTGGGGGAACCCCTCCCAGACGGTGGGGGTCACCACCATGTTCCCCAGGGCCTCATGCTCACTGCTCTTGCTTGTTTGGCTGGTGCTTTCCTACCTGAGCCAGGGCCCCATGCATGCTAAGCATGCACTCTACCATAAAGCCACATTCCCAGCCCAATTTATTTTTTTCTTTCCTTTTTATTTTTTAATGCAAGCGGTGGTGCACCTCTGTAATCCCAGCTACTCAAGAGGGGGGAGTGGGAGGGTCTGCCTTCCAAGAAGAGGCAAAAGTGCCAACCTCTACCTAAGAATTAACCACAGCCCCAAAGCCTGGAGAATAGGAGGAGGGTAAAGTTCAAGAGGAAGCCCTACCTTCCCCAGCAAGCACAGGGCCCCGAGTTCAAGACCCAGGGCCACCAAAAACAGCACCAACAAAAAAGCCTGGTCTTCTTGACTTGTCCTATCAAACCACACAATTTAAAGCTCCCACAGGTCTGGCTCTGCTTTCTGCATGGCTGTTTCTCCTCTGTGCCACCTGCCATTAGCCAGCACACCTACCTAGGACAGAGAGAGATGCTGAGGTAGTTGGAAGCAGCAGGTGGCAGGTCTCCTGGGGGCGGGGTCAGCGCTGCCTGAGGGGTGTAAGATGAGCTGGGCTCCTGCGCCCCCTGTTGGCTACAGAGCTAAATAGACTCCCATGCACCCCTGGTGGCCGTATAGGGAATGGCACAGACAGGTCCAGTGAGAAAAAGGTGGGGGAAGAGGCTGGGAGGGCAGCAATGTGGTGAAGGGCAGCAATGTGGTGAAGCCCACAGGATTTTGGCATGAGCAGGACCCGGATGATACACAAGAGCCACGCCCTGTGTCTCACACAGCCTGAGGCTCTTTGTGTCTTTGCCACCATACCCGGGGCCTCCAGTGGAGGCCTCCTCTTCCTTACCCATGTATCTCTGGGCCAGGACCCTGGGGACCCTGCCTGGCTCGGCTCAGGTCCAGGGCACCCAGGTCCGGATCGCTGCAGTGAACGAGGCCATCAACACGACTTTCATCTGCAACACCACCAACACCATGGGGACCGGCCAGGAAGAAGTGACCATTGTCCTCAGAGGTGAGGGGCTGCCCCAGGATGCCCTCTGACTCCTGCTTCACACAAGACATCTCAGGATGGGACCAGTGCAGTCAGCTCTGCTCCCTGACTCCCCCCTCCACTTTAAAACCTGGATTCCTGGTGCCATTGGTCATCTGCTGCCTGGGCACAGACCCGCCATCAACCCAGGCTGAGCAAATTGTCATTTGCTTCTTTTCCAGGTCGCCGTAGGGGGAGTGGGACTCACAAAAGCTCTTCTAAATACACTGAATAGGACTTTGATGGAATCACAGTCCTCCCCATCTGCCTCCCAAGTAATTAGAATTAGAGATATGAATCACTGGACCCATTTATATCTGCTTTCCTTTCTGGGTTTTTTTTTTTGACAGTCCTGGGATGTGAACTCAAGGCTGGCACTCTATTACTTGAGCCACAACTCCACTTTCAGCTATTGGGTGACTCATTGATGATAAGAGTTTCATTGAGCTTCCTGCCCAGGCTGACTTCAAACCAAGATCCTCAGATCTCAGTTTCCTGAGAGGCTGGGATGATAGGCCTGAGCCACCTGCTCTGACCCATTCTACTCTTAGCAACCTCCCTAAGGACAGAGCACACCACTCACTGGCTGTAGCTCTAATCAAATTCCCAGGGCCGGCTCTGATTGGCTCCACTTAAAGCCCTCTGAACCAATCACAGCAGCCAAGGAAAATGAAAGATTCTGATTGGCCAGACCTGAACTCCTTCAGGAAGTCCCATCCAAGAGGTCATTGGGTGCAGTGGAGTCCACCAGAACACAGAGAATGAGGGAGATGATGTTTTCTAAAGGAAATCTGGGGTGCTCATTCAAGGATGAGAGTGATACATGCTAGGCAGGTTTAAAAAAATGCTCAACATTTCCTCACCTGCCTGTTTCCTTCCTCTTCAGAAAGACCCTCAACCTCCAGGTCAGCTGGACCCATTGTCTGTGTTATGTTCAAGGTGCTGGGTGGGGCGGCGGGGGGGGGGAGAGGGGGAGAATCATGGTGGTGCTGGTGCTGGTGCTTCTGTTCTGGTATCACAACCTTCATGGTGAGCTCCAATACTCCTCTTGCCCCCACTGCATTCCTGCTGTGTACAAGGTTTATCTGAGAGGAGAGGGTATTTGAGGGGCCCCAGTTGCCACCCAGGCCTCCCTCCCATCCACCCATATTATGAATTTTCCTCCGTTTCTCCAGGTTGGAGAATGTTGAATACCTCTACCAACTTGGTAAGTGGAGAGGAGAAGAGAGGAGAGGGGAAGGTGAGGTGACCCCCTAATGGCTCTTGAGAAGGGCCTTGGGGGAGCTCAGGTCTAGCCCATCAGATCTCTCATTTTCCCTAGCTGCTGTGATTGGCTCAGAGGTGGACAGTGATTTAAGTGGAGCCAATGAGAGACTGCTTTGATTACAGCTATTGACAGTGGACTACAAGCCAAGTGCTGAAATTGTGTCTGTGGGAGGAGCCCATGCCCTCCGGAGTTCAAAGCCTATGACCACCGGCACAAGGAGAAAAGAAAATCCAGCTGCAGAGGTGTGTTGAGGTCGATTAGTGATGTCTGCCTAGGGTGCAGGGATATTTAGCCTTGGCACCATAGCTTGCTTGCTGGGATGTATTAGTGATGTCTGCACTGGGTACAGGTGTGGGAAGAAAGGCCTGGGGAAACCACAGAGTCCCCATTCTGGTCTCCCATAAGAATTTTCTGCCATGTGATATTCCACGACCCATCCCACAAACATTCGGAATCTCTGAACTCATTCATTCAACCCATACTTATAAGCACATAAATGTGTATGAAATGTAAGATAATGATATCAGCTGGATAGGACTTGAAACTGCCTAGGTTTCAGTTGTGTATGAGTGGCTCATGCCTGTAACCACAGCTAGTCAGGAGGCTGAGATCTGAGGATCACGGTTCAAAACCATCTCAGGCAGGAAAGTCCATGACACTCTTATCTCCAATTAACCCCCAGAAAACTGGAAGTGATGTTGTTTCTCAAATGGTAGAGTGCTACCTTGAGCAAAAGAGCTCAGGGACAGCGCCCAGTTCCTCAGTTTCAGCCTTATACACAACCAAAAAGAAAAAAATAAAGAAAAGAAACGGCCCCCCAATTTATTTTACCAGTTTTAGGGCTGAACTCCGGGCCTGGACACTGTCCCTGAGATTCTTTTGCTCAAGGCTAGCACTCTACAACTTGAGCCACAGAGCCATTTCCAGCTTATTCTGTTTATGGGGTACTGAGGAATCAAACCTAGGGCTTCACACACACTAGGCAAGCACTCTACCACATGCCCAGGCACAAAGATTGCTGACCAAAGGCTGGCTCTCCCCTTCTAGGATGCTGTGTATTCATCTGTACACAAGGAGGACGTCCTCTGAAAGACACACAAGCCAACAATGATGACAGTGTCGCTGGCCCCCGACTCCCACCGTGTGCCTTGAATGCCCAGAGGGCTGACAGCCTCTCCTTCTCTACAGCTCATGACCCGTCCAGAGCCTCACAGGCCCAGCTACTCAGAAGACTGACATCTAGGGGAACCAAAGGTTCAAAACCAGCCCTCAAGTCTCCATTTCCAGTTAATAAGCAAAAAAAAGCATGGAGGCATGGCACAAGTTGTATAGCACCAGCTGAGCAATGGAAGACCTCGGGCTCAACCTTGAGAACCCTCTAGAGCCCACACTAGTCAGATATGCCCTCAGCCACTTCTGCCATTTGCAAGAAAGACTGGAGAGCCCTGAAGATGCTAGGGTATTTCTGAGGGACCAGGCTGGAGCTGCCACTGGACTCATGCAGACAGTGCTCAGTCTCCTATGTCAAGTTCACAACAAGATGAGTGTGGTAGCACACACCTGTAATCCCAGCTACTGAGGACTCACCAGTCCTAAGGAGGCCTGGGACCACCTCTAAGGCCAGGAGCCTCCACCCAGAGCAGCAAAGTAACTTTTGTTTGTTTGTTTGTTTGTTGTAGGTGGGGGGCATTGTGAAACTGGGTCTGGGCGCTGTCCCTGAGGTCTTTTGCTCAAAGCTAGTGCTCTACTACTTTGAGGCACAGCGCCACTTCCAGTTTTCTGGTGGTTCATTGGAGATGATTCTCATGGACTTC